TAAATATCCCGCCCTGCGCTGCCATTGGTGCCCAGCGGGCGGCCGCGGCTTCTACTGCGCATGCGCGAACTCGAACGCCGCGGCCGGCCCGGACCTAGTGCCCATGTCCCTGCACAGGGTGGTGCACTGCGCCTGCGCCGGGACCATCGCGGCAGGGATCGAGGAGATCCCTGACAGCCACCTCAAAGTATTCAGGCATTTCTGGTGTGTCCTCTTTTGGAGCAAGTTATGTATGCTGACTGGGAGCACTCAAGAGTTTTTTGTTCCGCTGAAAAAAAGATTCTCCCTTCTGTATCCTATGGAGGAGAAGTGTTAGAAACTGGGGCATTCCGGGGGGTAGACACAGCTGTATCTTCCCTGAATAAGCATTTAACTTGTCCTGTAGATATTGCCCAGGTGTTTAAGGATCTGGCAGATAAGACATTATAATTGCTCCTCAAAGCTTCTTTTTCCCTGGCAGGGGCTGCTGCACAACCAGTAGTTGCTGCTATTGGGATCTGTCAAGAGTCTGAATGACTGTGTTAAGCAGGTGGTCAAAAGACCAGTGATCTTGGAGGAGAATATGGCTGTGGATTTGGCAGATTTACCACAGACCTTGTGTTTTGCAGTTGATGCCCTTAAGGACTCGATTCAGCAGATTTCTTGCATGGCCCTTCTGTTGGTACACATGCGCAGGATCTTGTGGTTAAAGAGTTGGGTGGCGGAACTACTGTGCAAAAGATTGTTGGCGGGTCCAGGGGACATGGTTCCCACAACAAAGAGTTCTACCGATCAATATCCTAGAGCTTTGAGCGGTGCAACTTGCCCTGTGAATAGGGGTCTGGGGAGAATCCTCAGCAGCGATTGACTTCAGGATGCAGACTGTCTTGATCAGATAAGGATTTATTGTCGACACAGTATAATACACAGGTAGATCAAAATTAGCAGCAGTCTACAAGTCTGCATCAGATTTACAGCAGATTATATGTGTTTAGTACATAAAAATAGCAAGCAAACTCTAATTTATATTGGTCCATTAGCTGCTGACCAATTACCATACATACTTCAAATATATCCAATTGCATTGAGGATTTAAATTGTCCAGTAACATTACAAGTTTCCTTGATACCCCTGCAATCATATATGACATGCTTCTAGACATTACTTCATGACACGACTCGTGCTTAAGATAGATAAGGTTTTAGACCTTTCATGAAATGGCGAACATCTCCCACATAGTCTTACTGAACTATCCTAAGATGGCCGCTGGCACTATACCAATCTGGTTGACTTGTATGTCTGGTAAACAAGTGGTACTCTTATCAGGACATGTTCATGGCCCCCCCTCCCTTATGCAAGATTAGAGGGTCTGATGTACCAGGTTAGATAAGGTCTCAATGTTCCAACTAAAATGGAAAGTCCCCAAACTGGCATCGAGCAACATTCAAACGAGAACAACAAACTTACCCTTTTTGAGAAAACAAGTCTGAGCGGGGCATGTCTAGACATATTCCTTCTTAATATCCCTATATGTATGATGTAAGATGTTTATACAAATCTAATCAATTATTGATCGTAGAGTAACACTCTTAATATTTATAGCACTCATAAGATATAAAGAACACTGACTTTCATTTATCTACATGAAAGTGTTATAAAAAGCTGTATCCACTTAGTTGTTTAAGCTTCACCTTTATGCAATTATTTTGATTTTACACAGTACTGTACATAAATGACACCATTATGAGAATGTTGAGTGTGTCCAGTTTATGACCACGGTGAAGAAGAATTTGATAGGGGTCTCCAGGTCCCCGACACATCTGAGGTATTAGACAACCAGGCTTCATGGTTGGCCAGTCAGGATTCAGTCTGACAATGCCCCAATGGTGGCATACAACCACCATGGCGGTCTTAGGAGCCAGAGGGCTCAGAAGGAAGTGAACCACATTCTGGCACGTTCCAACTATCAACAGTGTACATTCCAGGGGTAGAGAATTGGCAGGCAGATTATATCAGTCGCCGGCAGTTAGTTCTGGGAAATGGGCCTTGCATCCCAAGTTTCCTGTGGCAATCTGCCAGCACTGGGGGTGCCCTGACATAGATCTCTTGCAGAAGATGAAAGAAAGAGCGCACAAACCTTGCGCATTACCTCAATAAATAGTGACTAAATTTTATTATTAAGGAAATATTAAGGAAATGAACACACAACACACTGCTTGTTACTAACGCCCGTTTGATCTGAGTCTTTGAGATAATGGATCAAAGATCTCTTGCATCCAGATTAAACAGCAAGTTGGACAGGTTTGTGTCCAGGATGCAGGACTCTCTTGTGGTAGGGGGTAGATACCTTGGTAATACCTTAGGTCCGGTTTTCCGAAAAAAAACGCCCCCCCCGATTTAGCTGCTGTTGCTTGTCTTGTGCAGGAATCGAGAAGTTAATTCCAGTAGTAAGAACTGCCTTGGCCTGGTACGCGGACATGAGACTACCAATGGATGGTCCATGGGTTCTGTCATACCGACCAGACCTGCTGTCTCAGGGACCAATATTGCACTCAGCTTTACAGTCACTAAATTTGATGGCATGGCTATTGAGACCGAAGTCCTGAGAAACGGGGTGTCAGATTAAGTCATCCCCACAATGTTGAATGCTAGAAAGCTACTTTCTAGGAACACATTTATTACAGTACTTGGAAGGCTCATATTTCCTGGTGAGGTCCGAAATGGCATCCGCGGAAATATGAGATTAGCAGGATTTTGTCTTTTCTCCAGTTGGGTCTAGAAAATAAGTTGGCTGTTGGTACCATAAGGGTCAGGTTTCAGCTTTGGCTGTTTTTTTTTCCCCCAGAGACCCATTGCGTCTCACTCTGACTCGGACTTTTTTTTTGCAAGGAGTGATGCGTAAAGTTTCTTCTGTCAGACAGCTTCTGTTGGGACTTGAACATATCTTGGAAGTATTACAAAAACAACCTTTTGAGCCTATTAGGGAGAGACTGTTCTTTGTTCTGTCTGATGGGCCCAGAAAAGGACAGGTGACATCCAAAGCAACTATTTCTCATTGGATCCGCCAGTTAATTATTTAAGCCTCTTTGAAGGGCAAGGTCCAACCCTTTTGGGTGAGAGCACCCTCTACCAGGTGTGTGGGGGGTATCTTGGCTAACAGGCGTCAGTTTCCTCTCTGATTGATTGGCCAGTGTCCATTCACCTATATTTGGCATATAACTCACATAGTCATGAATAGCCTACTTTGTGTCCCATGGTGTAGTCCAACAATTGGATTTTACAAGCAAATATGCAGAAAAAAAAACTCTCTCAAAAGCAGTGCTCCACTGTCTATTCAACAAAAGCTCACTGCAGAATTTAAATTACTGTCGTAAACTGTGTTTTTTTTCCTCCTTCTTGCATTCTTTGCAACAAGATAAAAAAAAAACCCTTTCACATGCAGCTTCCCCTAAATACTCACCTGAGTCCGATCTCGGTCCATGCTGTGCACGTTTGCAGCAGCTCCTCTCCTAGGGAAGTTGGGAGTGCAAGCCGGGCTGTGTGTCTGAACAGATGCAAATAGTGCAGCTCAGGAGCGAGCCTGCACGGTTGACCACCATAGGAATATTGTAGGCACTTGGTGAGGAAGGAGCCATGAGCGCTGGCGGGGGACATGAGGAGGATTGGAGCTGCTTTTTGCTAAATGACTGCACATAGCAGATATGTATAATATGTTTCTTATTTTAACACAAAAAAACTGAAGAAATTGCTTTAACTTTCCAACCCATTAAATAGCCCTTTCCACCCCAAACACATTAAAAACATAACGTTAGAAGTCTTTAGACATTAGCTGTCGGCCACCTGCAGCCAATACCATTTAACCACTTGCCAACCGCGCTATAGCTGAATGATGGCTACAGCGCGGTTGTCCAGTTCTGGGAGGGTGTCATATGATGTCCTCCCAGAGCGTGCCCTCCCACGTGCCCCAGTCGATCTCAGTGATGTGGTAAAAGGCCAATCACAGAGACCTTTTACCATGTGATCAGCTGTGTCCAATGACACAGCAAATCACCGGTAAATGCAGTTGCTGTTTATCGGCTGCACTTTACTCACGCTATAACAGCGTGAGGAAAGTACTGCCGATAACCGGCAATTGTCAGAGATCAGATCGGCACCAATCATCAGTGCCACCCGCCTGTGCCCAGCAGTGCCACCCACCAGTGCCCAGCAGTTTCACCCAACAGTGCCACCCACCAGTGCCGCCTCATCAATGCACACCAGTGAAGGAGAAAAATTACCTCTTTGCTAAATTTTATAATTGAAACAAAGAAAACCTTTTTTTTTTCAAATTATTTGCTTTTTTTTTTGTTTATAGCGCAAAAAAATAAAACACCTAGTGGCGATTAAATACCACCAAAAGAAAGTTCTATTTGTGTGAAAAAAATAAGAATTTCATATCGGTACAGTGTTATATGACCGCGCAATTGTCATTCAAAGTGCGACAGCACTGAAAGCTGAAAATTGGCCTGGGCAGGAAGGGGGTATAAGTGCCTTGTAGGCAAGTGGTTAAAGTATTTCTAAAGGCTGATGATTTTTTTCAACCAATGAAGAGGGGGTGGGAGTGTGTCAGGCTGAACCCGCACGAGTGCCCCCATAGCAAGCAGCTTGTTATAGGGGCACTCAGTGGGAAGGGGTAATGGAAAGAGCCAGGATCATTGGACCCAAGAAGAGGAGGGGGGGGGAAAAAAAAAAAAAAAAACCCCAAAAAAACCCACGAACGTTTACAACCACTTTAAAGTGCACTGATGATTAGATTGTACATTCATCTGTATTTGGGCACAATACAAAAATTACCTGACCATGACAAATTGTACACTAGTGCCACTGCTACTTTTTTTAATCAAAAGCAAGTTTTGATCTTTCACTTCATCACATAGGTAAATGAAGAACTGGGAACTAATTTGACAAAAATATTATACTACACCCAAAATTACAACCAAAAATTGGATGAAGAATATGAATGTAAACAATACTACACATACCGTTTTTTTCATAATATAAACCAATTTTCTCCGGAAACGTATACAATATTTCATCTGAATTAACAGCCAGAGATTCCTTGTATTTTTCAGATAGTCCAGAGCATTTTTCTTTCAATTCGTCTAGGACCTACCACAGAAAAAAATAAAAACGTTGTTACTCGTAGTTAAAAGTTTCCGTTTTGCACTTACATACTGGCAGTGATATGCAATAGAGCTTAACTGACTCACACTGCATAGCTTCTGCCTTCAGTCTGATTTCTAATATATTGGGGTTATGAGGAGATAAATATAAACCTAGGACCAACCTAGGTTTTTTATTAAATAATTACAATGTTGGACTAAAGGGTGCTTCAATTCTTCTGAATTTGACATACATGACATACACTTTGTGCAAAATTATTAGGCAAGTTTTATTTTGGAGGATTACTTCATTATTGAAAAACTACAATGTTCTGGGTCAATCAGAAATGTTAATAAATCTCAAACCTGAATATTTAAGAAAGTAAAAGTGAGGTTTTGGCTTCGGCAGAGTTCTGTGAATGAAGTGCCTACAATTCCCAGCATCCTTAGCAGCTGTCAGCTTGTAGTTTTCAATAAACTACCACGGTGCTGTGGAGCGCCGTGGTAGTTCACTGAAGCTTTCTGTCAGAAAATGGTCAGGTCCATAAATATTGGGACATCGACACAATCCTAACATTTTTGGCTCTATACACCACCACAATGGATTTGAAATGAAACAAACAAGATTTGCTTTAACTGCAGACTGTCAGCTTTAATTTGAGGGTATTTACATCCAAATCAGGTGAACGGTGTAGGAATTACAACAGTTTACATGTGTGCCTCCCACTTGTTAAGGGACCAAAAGTAATGGGACAATTGGCTTCTCAGCTGTTCCATGGCCAGGTGTGTGTTAATCCCTCATTATCCCAATTACAATGAGCAGATAAAAGGTCTAGATTTCATTTCAAGTGTGCTAGTTGCATTTGGAATTTGTTGCTGTCAACTCTCAAGATGAGATCCAAAGAGCTGTCACTCAGTGAAGCAAGCCATCATTAGGCTGAAAAAAAACAAAACAAACCCATCAGAGAGATAGCAAAAACATTAGGCGTGGCCAAAACAACTGGAACATTCTTAAAAAGAAGGAATGCACCGGAGAGCTCAGCAACACCAAAAGACCCGGAAGACCACAGAAAACAACTGTGGCGGATGATGGAAGAATTCTTTCCCTGGTGAAGAAAACACCCTTCACAACAGTTGGCCAGATCAAGAACACTCTCCAGGAGGTAGGTGTATGTGTGTCAAAGTCAACAATCAAGAGAAGACTTCACCAGAGTGAATACAGAGGGTTCACCACAAGATGTAAACCATTAGTGAGCCTCAAAAACAGGAAGGCCAGATTAGAGTTTGCCAAATGACATCTAAAAAAAGCCTTCACAGTTCTGGAACAACATCCTATGGACAGATGAGACCAAGATCAACTTGTACCAGAGTGATGGGAAGAGAAGAGTATGGAGAAGGAAAGGAACTGCTCATGATCCTAAGCATACCACCTCATCAGTGAAGCATGGTGGTGGTAGTGTCATGGCATGGGCATGTATGGCTGCCAATGGAACTGGTTCTCTTGTATTTATTGATGATGTGACTGCTGACAAAAGCAGCAGGATGAGTTTCTGAAGTGTTTCGGGCAATATTATCTGCTCATATTCAGCCAAATGCTTCAGAACTCATTGGACGCCGCTTCCCAGTGCAGATGGACAATGACCCAACGCATGCTGCAAAAGCAACCAAAGAGTTTTGGCCAAGTCAATCACCTGACCTGAATCCGATTGAGCATGCATTTCACTTGCTGAAGACAAAACTGAAGGGAAAATGCCCTAAGAACAAGCAGGAACTGAAGACAGTTGCAGTAGAGGCCTGGCAGAGCATCACCAGGGATGAAACCCAGCATCTGGTGATGTCTATACGTTCCAGACTTCAGGCTGTAATTGACTGCAAAGGATTTGCAACCAAGTATTAAAAAGTGAAAGTTTGATTTATGATTATTATTCTGTCCCATTACTTTTGGTCCCTTAACAAGTGGGAGGTACATATGCAAACTGATGTAATTCCTACACCGTTCACCTGATTTGGATGTAAATACCCTCAAAATAAAGCTGACAGTCTGCAGTTAAAGCACATCTTGTTCGTTTCATTTCAAATCCATTGTGGTGGTGTATAGAGCCAAAAATGTTAAAATTGTGTCCATGTCCCAATATTTATGGACCTGACTGTATCTACTTGCTTGTACATCCCATACGGCAAGCAGATATTCTGACAGGTCTGCAGGACACTTGCGTGGCATCAGTGTCTAGTAATTTATGGTGCAATGCTTTCCAGGCTCCTGCAGACAAAAATAATAATTTAAAAGGCACATTTTTTTACCTGCAAAAAAATAAATAAAAGTGCATTGATTATTTTTGTCAAAAAGGTGAACTTATCCTTTAAGCCTAAAACCTAAAAATGTACTGTATTTCAGCTTACCAATCTTTAAATGTAGTGGCTGCATTAGTTTTCTGTTTTTGGGCTTTTCCTTGCCCCCGTTTTTTGTGGTGACCTAGCCAGTAACACATCTCCAGTATTAGAGTACATGTGGTATCCCATAATCAGAAGTAGCATAATATATTTTGGGGTGTAATTTAAATGAAAACTTTGTGTAAAAAAAATAAAAAATAAAATAAATACATTGCCATTTTCCAAAAACGTATGGAAATAAAATAAATCTTCTATGGACTCAACAAATCTCTCTGCAAATAGCTTAGAGTGTCTACTTTCCAAAAGGGGTCATTTGGGAGTGTTTGTATTCAGTAAAAGCTGAGTTAATCTTGAGTATCTATATCATAGTTTGTAGATGCTATAACTTTCACACAAACCAATTCATATAAAGTGCTGCGCAAATTGATGGCGCTATATAAGTACCTGTAAGAAATAATAAGTATACACTTATTGGGATTTTTTTTTTACCAAAGACAAGTAGCAAAATACATTTTGGCCTAAATTTATAACTAAATTTGAGTTTGATATTTTTTATAACAGAAATTGGAAAATATAATTTTCTTCAAAATTATAGGGTTTTTTTTTTTATGTTTATAGCACAAAAAATAGACCCAGAGGTGATCATAAATCAACAAAAGAAAGAAAGCTCTACTGACATTTATTTTCATTTATGTACAGCACTGTATGACCGCAGAATTGTCAAACTAGTGCAGCGCCGTATCGCAAAAAATGGCATAAATTCTAGTATCTATACCATAGTTTGTAGATGCTCTAACTTCCACATAAACCAATTAATATACGCTTATTGTGATTTTTTTTTTTTTTTTTTTTTTTTTTTTTACAATAAACATGTAGAAAAATAAAATTTGGCCTGGATTTATGATGAAATTTGAGTTTATTGGATATTTTTCTATAGCAAAAATTTGAAAAAAAATCTTTTTTCAAAATTTTTAATTTTTTTTTTTTCTAAAATTTAGTTTATAGACCAAAAAATAAAAAACCCAGGAGGTGATCAAGTACCACCAAAAGAAACAGTATATATAAAAAGTAAATGTGAGCGCAATGTTTAGGTAAAAACAGAAGCAGCTAGCATATAAAGGTAAAACCTCAACACCTTAAAATGAGAAATATAAATTAATATGCAGCGCTAAAAGAGAGTTTATCCTATAAGAATAAATAAGTATAAAGCATATATAGTAAGTGGGCGCTGATATAAGCACAAGGATAGTGCAGTGATATTGCGTCTATGAATGACGTATCCGTAAAATATAAAGTGATAAAGTGACAATGCTGGTGAGTCCAATCACAAAATAATAAAGTCCATAATGAGAGGTGATCCGTGCTCCGTGATGATCAATACTGGTGCCAAGATCCGGTAAAATGATGCACTTACCAGAAGTACATATAATATGCGCAATATTATTATACAGTATTTATAAAGCGCCAATAGTTCACTCAGCGCTGTACATTACAAAGGGGGACAGAACATGTGACAGAACAATACCAATACAATGCAAAACATGAGGGGATCGAGGGCCCTGCTCTTTCGAGCTTACAATCTAGGCATTATATGTATATCCTTATGATGGGGCCATTGGGATCTGGTCTGGGGCTGTGGGGTCATCAGGCACAGCAGTGGACACTCAAGATGATGCAACTCATCCCCCTTAGGGGAGCCCACCAGATTGACGCCTTGCCGCACACGGCCGTGAGCAAGGCCAGCGGCCATTTTATGATCACATGTGAGTTTTGCTATATTTTTTACCTGGATATGTTTTACATTTGAATAAACCTACTACACTATCAGTACCATTTTTGCCCCTTGGCTTGATGGAATATTCTCATAAGGTGGAGCCATCTGGGAGTGTGAAACCAGTACTTACAGCTGTCTTGACGAGTCTGTGCGCGGAGTGAGACCCCCGAGTGTGATTTGCATCATCTTGAGTGTCCACTGCTGAGCCTGATGACCCCACAGCCCCAGACCAGATCCCGATGACCCCATCATAAGGATATACATATAATGCGCATATTATATGTACTTCTGGTAAGTGCATCATTTTACCGGATCTTGGCACCAGTATTGATCGTCACGGAGCACAGGTCACCTCTCATTACGGACTTTATTATTTTGTGATTGGACTCATCAACATTGTCCCTTTATCACTTTATATTTTACGGATACGTCATTCATAGACGCAATATCACCACCAAAAAAAAGGCTCCGTTTGTGTGAAAAAAAAAAAAAAAAAAAGGGACATAAATTTTGTTTGGGTACAGTTTTGCATGACTGCGCAATTACCAATTGAAATAGTACAGCGCCGAATAGCAAAAAATGGCCTAGTCAGGAAGGGGATTAAATCTTCTGGAGCTCTGGTCCATTAGGGGTGAACAGCTGTGAGAGGAAGTGGTTAAACAGTTACAGCAACAGTTTTCTTTTAAGCTTGGAATAAAGGTTTTACATAACTGTATAAAAGCTGACCACGGTAAGCACCCCTGTCAGTGGTAAATGGTTTGGCTCATTGTTGAAAGGGAGGGCTGGGCTCTCAGATTTAACCTCTTCACGCGGCCTAACACAAATGTGTGGCCTCCCAGCAT